TTTTGTTTCCTTCGCACAGCCAGGCTGCAGCTCGTGAGAAATATGCGAGGCGGGTTTTGGTTGGGTTTTTTGTTTGTTTGTTTTTTTTTTTTTGGTCGGCGCTTGTAAGCCTGAGTCGCGCCTCTGCAAACTGAGAACTTCCTTTATGGGGAAGGTTTTTCACACGTTTGGGCTGCGGATACTGGCTTTAATAACAATATACAGAAAAACAGGTTCCATAATCTTAAAGTTTGTTTAAAATAAAGTCTTCATTGCATGGATGTTTTAAAAGAAGAACTTAGCAAACCTTAGAAAACATAAATCATGAGAGTCAGCATTAAACCTTAAGAAGCAAATCTCTTTTTCTTTTCAAAAGCGTTCTTATATGTATGTGTTTACACAGTGAAATATTTTGATGGAAAGATCCTGGTCCATGCCTGAGCAGTGTTGAAGCTATTAAACTGGCCTGACAGGTTACCTAGGGATTCCCTTGCCTTGGAGAGCCTTTTGTTAATGTAAAGCTGATGTGGCTGTTTTCTGCCTCCTCCCCTGTGGTTCATGTTGCATGAAGTAAAAACGGTGTGGTCAGACTGCAGGTGAGCTTTGCCCACCCCTGCCTGTTGAGATGGTTTCTGGGCAATGTTTGGGGGGCGATTCAATTTAAGGAAGCTTAATAGCCTTGTGAATAATCAGGGTGCTGTGCTGGACCCTGGCAAAAGCCATGGTCAAAGTAGGTAGAAAAGCTCAAGTTCTTTATGGAGTCCCACCCCTCATTCTCCTCAAGTTCAAACTCAGCTCAACAGTTCCTGAGGGTCCTAGTCATAACAACAATTCTGTAAATAAAAAGCAAAAAGAGGGATGGATCTCTCATCTAGGAGGTTGGCCTGTCACATAAGGGTGTTTGTAAATCCTCATACAGCTTGTGTATTTACACAGAAAGCCAAGCTGAGCACAGGTAAATAATTACTGCTAAAACGCTAATACTTGCAGTAAATACAAACTAATATTTGCTGTTCAACACATTATTTGCTGAGGAAGCCAGAAGAACCAGAACCAATGTTTGTTCCTGGAGAGCATTTTGTGCCGGCTGCTGGAAATACATGTACACATCACTTTGTGTGTTCTCTCTGTAATGGTCCTCTGCCGCCTCTTGGCATAAATAGTTTGGATAACTTAACCCTTCACTATTTGTCCTTGTATCTTACCTCTATTTCCACAAAGTTAAAAAAAAAAAAAAGAGGCAGAATAGTAAATAAGAAATGTTAAAGTGGCTATAAACAGAAATGTACGTCTCCACAAGCTATAAAGGGGATTACACATGATTTGCTATTGTAATGTTGCCTCTAGTGTAACCATTTCCTTTGGAGAAAAGTGAGTATATGGTTAAAATACAGTCTAATGACCCAAGCAATGTCTTTCCTTATACTAGTATTTTAGATACAAAACCAGTTCCAGCTACTCACTTTAAATTACATATGTAATGCATTAGATTTTACCCAAGTCAAAAGTTAACATTGTAACACTTGTTTTAAAAGATAAAATATGCAATCCCATAGGAAGCAGGCTAGTATAGGAGACAGCTGGAAACATTCCCTGGACAGATGCATAGCTTATATTCAGATTTATCTATAAAAAACACAAGTATTAACAACATTCATCCTCCTTAACCACTTGGAACAGGGAGCACTAAGTGTTCTGCGGAGAAAAACTGGTTTCTACCTATAGAGGTTAAAGGATTAATGAATACTTGGCACATGAAAAATGAATAGTGATAGCGGGAAGAAGATTGCATGTAGACGGTGTGATAAGGTGCATAACAGAGAAACATCACGTTACACACGTTGCTGTGCCCTGAGAAAAAGACAAAGCTTATTTCCATTGACTTTCAGATAAAATATTTTAAAACATCAATATTTATTTTGTCATACTTAGAAATATTTTATTCAGTTATCTACTATATCTAAGGAAATCATCTAGAAGAGGGGATGGCTGACTGACAGTGGGTGATAAAATTTGTTCTCTGTGAGCTTCATTATGTGCTATGTTGGCTGTTTACATGGTCTGTTGCCTGCTACTAAGAACTATTACCCATATGCATGAATTTGCAGGGCAGTATCTAAGCAAAAAATTATGTAGCTACATTCACATGAGAAATGTATTACCTGATTATGTATCAATAGATTGATACAGAAGTAGGGATATTACACATTACTATTTGATGTATATCAGAGATTTATAGAGAAATGTAGTTCTCAATCACATGCTTTTATGGAAAACCTGTCCTACTAAATCACCATCTTGGCTCACTCCATACACCTGACCACTATTTCCAGTCTCATCTAGCTTAACAAAGCTGAGCATGCATCATCTATTTGAAAATGTTTTGGCTTACATTTTAACACAGAAAGACTTTGAAAACATTTAGTGTTTCTCCAGATTTAGAAAGTTCTTTTTTTTCCTCATTTTTTTCCCCTTGGAAACAGGGAACTTTAATTGTATTTCCTATTAACCAAGGGGACTTTTCAGCATGCTGTTTTTTCAGAAACAACAGTCCTAAATTTTGAGACAGGAACATTAACAGCGTATTGCCATATACTAGTCTAAAATCAGAAAGTCATACTTTTGGAAAACAGGAAAAAAAATTGGCCCACTGACCATTTCTGGTTACTTATTTTTTCACAAGCTCAACAAGTGTGTTTTTGTGTGATTTTAGACTTTTTCCATAGTCCTTCTCCACTTCTGCCATATTGCCTTTAGAACACTACTACTAATTCCCTTTTATTGACTCCCACCACTTACAATATCACATGGCTCTTTCTAGTCTTCCTCTAGCTGTTTGTCCACTAATGGATTTTCTTAAAACTTACCAAAACCAACATATTGTAAAATCTCCCCTTAATGTTCCTCAGCCTCTCACACTGTATTTGTCCTCCACTGACACAGAATTTTCTTCACTCTTCTTCCCCAATATGCACTGACTTATTTGTCTTAAATTTTTGTCTTAGATCTTAATCCATGTGCAAATAAGTAATACTTTTGAAAGCAATTTAGCAACTTCTACCCTTAACTTAAGAATGATTTTTTTTTAAAACTTATTAATAATCAATCATTTTTCAAATTGGGGAATGGCATCACCAGCAGAGAGCACACTGGAACCTCAGAACAAAAGAAAACATAAAATCAATAGCATATTTTAACAATGTGTGCCTGAAAGACATAAAAATAAATCTGAAGTAAATGAGTAATGTGCTGAATATTGAGAGATTTTGTCATTTAAATTAACACCAGTTATAAAAAAAAATCACTTAAGTTACCTGTTATTTATTCCATTTCAGATTGTATTAATTTTTTTAATTCAAATAAGCAAACAAATTACAAAATCAACCTTACCTAAATGAATTTTTATTTGGGATGCACGGTTAGACAAAAGCTGTAACAAATTACATGATGCATTTTAGAAGACAGATTGTGTTCATTTGCTGAACTCGGAGAAACCTTTGAGTTGACAGATAATCAATTCAAATACCTGCAGTTGAGGGATTGTATTACTAATTCCTTTCACAACTCTTCCCTTTTGGATACAGGCAAATAAACGGGTTTTCTTTGCCAAGGAATTGACCACATCAGCATATACAGTCTTTCAGGTATGGTTGCTGTCTTGCAATCCAGCCTGTGATCATCTGCCAAGTGCCTCCTCCATCTTACTCCATTCAAACTGGGGTTAAGTTCAACATGTGGGCCTTGCCCCTTTATCTGACAGCTGCCCTCAAGCATGAGGGTACAGATGTTTTTGGGCAAGGACATCAGCTTCTGTTTCTTTGAATCTCCTTATGAAGTGTTTCAACATGCACAGCACTCTGCCATCAAATGCTGAGCTTTATAGTCAACTTCTAGGTGGCCACTAACCAAACCAGTCAATCTAAAACAGGGAAGTACAACTAACAAGCATCGCTGTTGTATTTCATGGGACTCATTCAAACATCAGCAGTACAATTCCTTGGGTATGAACACTGGAGCTTTTGGACATAGTATTTTTATTTTTTTCTGTACTTCATATAAACCAATTTTTTGTTCTTAGACTATCAGGAAATCTTCCCTTCAACCCACTCTGCTTTAAACCACCCCAAAAAGCACAACCTAGCTCAGTGCATAAATGGCAGTGTTAGTGAACACAATGCAGCCTCTGTGATACAATAAAGTATATAACAGAGAATAGTTCAGTTACACTGCACAAGAGAGGAAAATTATAATCTGATATAATTAATAGGTGCATGTTTTTCTCCAGGGGCAGAGATCAAAATATTCAATTTGCCAGATTTAGAGTAGCAATGTTGCCAAGACACTTATTCTAGGAAAGTGGGGCCACACAGTATTAATTCTTCACTCCTTTGATCCAAAAGCTCTGTGCCCTTTCTATAACCTTGGATTGAAATCATGGATTTATTTTTTTTAATTTTAAACTTGCCTTCTTTTAGCAAGAGCCCTTGAAAGGTTATGATCTTACTGAAGAGGCAGAAGAACAGGGAGAACAGTTCCTTATTTGGTATAATCCAACACTGGCAAAAGTTAATAGGGAGCAGGAAATCATCAAGGAACATGTTTTAGGGAGGGTTTTGGTTTTTGCATCTCTTCAGTGTTTGGTTAATGTTTTTGCAAGAAAAAAAAGAAAAGGAGACAAAGCTTTTCTGGCTCTGGACACCATGTCAGTGCAATGCCCATGAATGGAACAGGTTGCACTGGATTTTCATTTCAAAACCCTGTAGTTTATAGCTGAATTTATGAACTTAAATATCACCCTGATTAAATTTCTTCCATCAATTTGAAGTCTATGTTCAATTATCTCAGCTCCTTATATTAAATGTGTTGTTTGGTTGTTTAGGAGACCAAAAAAAAAGGAGGGGGCAGGATTTCTTAAACTGCTTTATAAAGAGAGGCAGACAGTATTCTCATATGAACATTAAAGCTATTACATCTCTTTTGGTAAGATAGAGACACAGCCTGTGACAATCTTTCCCAATTTTCCCTGTGACTCCCACTGTGTTGTGTTCTCTGTATCTCCTGATAATTTTGTGTTCCACTGTGTCTTCATACAACTGATGATATCTAATTTGTTCCCTGTGCATGTATTTCATAGGTTCCAAAAGAAGATCTGCAAGTTAAAGACCTGGAGGTGAAGTTTCAAAGCCAGAAATGTTTCAGAAATGGCTGGTGGCTGTGCATGGGACTGAGAAGCATTCTGCAGTCAGGTTAGCAAAGGAATACATTCAGCTGGGCATGAATCTGATTTTGCACCTAGTAGGCAGCCAAAAACATCTGGGATATTTTCTTTGCAGGTATTACCCTAGCAATCTTTCATGCTTTTCCTGACAGGTTTTAGGTCTAACAAATATTTGCCCCATTGTTTTTAATTAAGCAAAGTTCTTTGTTCCCTGTGGAGGTGTTAAAAAATTACAACAGAGTAAGTCTCCAAATAAATAAGCACTTAGATGTTTTTTCTTTACTCATAAAGTATTCCTCCTTTCCCAGCTTCCATCCTAGCACATGCTTTCCTGTTTTACTAAGGCATTCATGTTGATAATTTTTGTTTTGGTTTCATGGCCATGCAACTTGGCATCACCAGCAGGTCAAGGGAGGGGATTGTCCCGCTCTGCTCTGCGGTGGTGCAACCTCACCTTGAATATTGTATGCAGTTTTAGGTGCCACAATATAAGGAAGATATTAAGCTATTAGAGAGTGTCTAAAGGAGGGCAATGAGGATGGTGAAGGGCCTTGAGGGGAGGCTGTATGAGCAGCAGCTGAGGTCACTTGATCTGTTCAGCCTTGAGAAGAGGAGACTGAGGGGAGACCTCATTGCAGTCTACAACTTCCTTGTGAGGGGAAGCGGAGGGGCAAATACCAGTATGTTCACTCTCATGATCAGTGACAGGACTCAAGAAAATGGCATGAAGCTCAGTCAGGAGAGGTTTAGGCTGGATACCAGGAGAAGGTTTTTTACCCAGAATGTGGCTGGGTGGTGAAACAGGATCCCCAGGGAAGTGGTCACAGCACCACACCTGCCAGAGTTCAAGAAGCATTTGGACAATGCTCTCAGGCATATGAGATGTTTGGGATGTTCCTGTGCAGGGCCAGGAGTTGGACTCAGTGACCCTAATGGGTCCCTTCCAACTCAAGACATTCTATGATTCTATGATTAAAAACGAAAAATGGTTCTTTTTAAGTCTTGTGTTATTACATTACTTTGCTTGAAATGTCTGGGTTTGCACCTGAGCATCATGGACATATCCACGGTCATGATGATTTCTGGATCGTATGCTTTCTGGATACGGAATGTCAGTGACTCACAAGCATTAAGAGGCTTCAGCTGGACTCAGCTCTAAATACCACATTACAGATGAGTAAATTATTTTTTTAGTGAATTAAAGGTTTCTGGTTTTTTAAATGGTGAATTTCATAGCTTGTTATTTCATAGTTGTGACACTAGATATAAATCTAATAGCTGAAAAACCTAAGCATCATATTGTAGCAATTGCTTACTTAATGTCTAGGCTTGTTTGTGTGATTTTTGTTTCTTTGAACTAAGGGAATGAATTTGTTTGAGTGACTTCAAAGCTCAGTAAATACCAGTTATCAATTCTCTTTCTAATGACAACTGATGACATGATTTTTACAAATGGTTGAGCATTTGGCAAATGCTAACCGCAGAAATCGAATGAGCTGAAAGAAACTCCAGTCTGCCCTATTGTCACTACTGAGCTGACAGATGGGAAAAAGAGGAGGAGGTTGTGATGCTCTCCCAGAAGCCCAGGGGCACACCACAAAATGACTGCTGAAGTGTCTTGTCAGACCGTGAGAGAGGTACAGATTTCTGAAGAGCAGACATCACCTATATTTTGCTTTAAAAGTTACCCTTTCTATCACAGCCTCCCCAAACAGGCTGAGCAAATTCTCTTCGGAGCACTTAGCACCAGAGCTCATTTGAGCCTCAGGAGTCAAGGTAAAATTGAATTTCCCTGACAAAAGGAGGAGCTGGAACCAGGCTACTTCCTCCAGCAGCTGCTGGAAGAGTGGGAGAGCAGGGCTACCGCTACAGCTGCCCCAGGCAGGTGCCTTGAATGCCAGCATCTGTTGCTGTCCTGGACACTGTCACCTGCCTGAGCCCTATCAGCATGGCCAGGGTGCTTTGCTATCCCGCCATCTGCTGCTGCAAACAGCTGCCCGCTCTGCTGGTGCCTAAGCAGCAGGGAAAATCCCCCAGTATGCAGAAAGCCTGTAAACCCCAGAATAAGAATTGAGAAATGGGCACTGGCAGTCTGTGAGAATCAGATTGCTTGGCCTTGCCTTTCCTTACCTTTTTTTTTTTTATTTGACTCCTCAGTTAGTCTAATGCATCTCCTTTGGTTTTGTAAGGAGTGACTTGACAAGTTAAAAGTACCAAACGTCAGTAGCTTCACCCATATGTGCTGCACGCCTCAGGCTAGACAGTACATATTGGTAGCCAGACTGAGAAGAACATTTATCACATTACCTCTTAAAAACTCACTTTATTTTTCTTGTTGAACTGGCCCCCATCCAATGTGACACTCCAGCATGAGCCATGTAGTGACAGCAACAGCCTCCATGGAAACACACCAGAGCATGAGGCCAGCCGTGGGGTAGGGAGAAAAGGCAGCTCTGTCCTTTTCCTTAGTCTGCTGCGTTTTCACTCTGAACAAACTTTCATTCCATTTCTAAAGCATTATTATGAGTGCCTCTCCCATGCCACCGTGTCTTTGGTATGTTCCTTGTAGCAATGCAAAGTTGCGCTAAAGGTGAAAAACCTGGGGCTGATTGCAAGGCATTACCATCTCGCAGCCTCAGCCTCAGGAACCTCCACTCCTTTTACATGCTGGAGCCAGGAAGGGAAGCTGCCTTTCCAACCAAGACACAAATAAATGCTGGCTGCAGTGGGTGGAGGTTTGAATGCACAGTATGGAGTGACTAGCTCTCATAGAGAGCTGGCAGCCTTGGCACTGCTCTGCCAAAGGTCCGGTTAACTGAATGTCTATTTTCGGCAAAATGGAGGGAGCAAAGGGAAACCACATCTTAGAAATTTCCTCAATGGCTTTCATAATTTGAAATATCCTTCACTTCACCCAGGAACAGGTGTATTGGGAAAAGGGTGGGAGGAGGTATGATGTTAAGCCGGTTGCTCTCCAAGTAGAATAACTGGGGGGACTTTGATGGTCAGGATGCCCGGATGACAAAACCTCTCATCATCAGGGCTATTACCACACCTGCTTCTCCATCATACTTAAAACTCACTCCCCTATCTAATAGCAGCATGCAAAGTTGTCTAACGCCATTATGATATAATTAATAATATCATTTTCCCATAATATTTCTCTGAAATTTTCCTTGTTTTCCGTCAGACTGCCTTGAAGTAAGTCTTTCAGCCTGACTATCTCGTTTGATGGAGACAGTGAACCAGGTAGCTCTTTGGCATTGTTCCAAGTGTTTGAGCATTTCACAGATGACAGGGTAAATCCAGCAAAATTTGTGCACCTTAAGGCTAGCTGCTACTGTGCTTAACTTCCAGACACTTACATTCACAGAAAACGTGACAATACCAAGTTTCACTGCACATCGCTTGTAGGCTCCCAGTTCTGAATTCACACTGTGCAGTGGGAAATACCCATTCTCTGTATGTCACATGGAGAATCAGGTGCCTGGGATTCACCACAACCACAGTAGTGAGCAGAAAGTCTCTTAAACTGAAGCACTTATATTGTAAAATTTCCCCTGTCCCAGCATGTAAAGAGTCTAAGTATGGGCTGCAAGGCAGTATTTTTTGTGGCTTGGGAGTCACAGCCTGGTTCTCTTTCAAGCTGAGCACCTCAGCCATCTTTTCAAGGGGCTGAATGAGCGCTTTTTTTTTTTTTTAATTTAAATGATACAGCAGTACCTTGACCATAATATATATATGACATGTAGTATAATATGTAATAAGCACATTTTAATGTCTAATGCTTTAATACGTGTTATGAATAATAACAACAATAATACACAGCAGGCACCTAGGTGATGTATCTTCTCCATCTCTTACATCCCAGCTCCACTACTTAGATTATACATGCTTGTCTGAGGCACTAGGATATGTCTTATTAAATCTGGGCTGTAGGCATTTACATCAGGACCAACCACCTTTGTACCCCTCTGTAATGGAGAAAGATACTTTTAGGATCTCTCTCATCTCATCCTAAAATAGGTTTCTAAATTTTACTGGCATTGCCAGACATCTTCATTGCACCAAACCCTTTAGTGGACATCAGGAGTCACACTTGGCTTCAGCATGGACTCCAACTCTTTTGACACTGCTTTGGTTGCTCCTCATGTCTTTGCCATCCCAAGTGCTTTAAGTACTTGTGGATAACACCAAGTCACCCAGGCTAATTCTAGTCTGAAATCTTTCAGGTATAACAACAGATCCTAATAAATCTGAGCACTATTTCCTTAGTTAAATTTCCTCACAAGACTCTTGGTTTCCTGATGTCTCAGACACATAAGAAAACTAATTGCACATCATAAGGGAAGTCAATCACCTAGCTTCCTAAGTGATATTTCTGATCTACTGAAATTACTTCTCCAAAATCATCAAGGGCGTTACGACTCCAGTTAACATCCTTAATATCTCTTTTCAGTGTGTGAGCCTAGGTCCTGAGATGATGTTAATTTGAACATCTACATTGAGTTAGTAGCCCTGGGCATGTTTATCAAGCTGGTGATGTGGCCCATGAACTCTGTGGAATTTCCCAGTATCTTTCACATCACTTTGCACCTTTTCTCTTCCTCATCTATGCCTCTTTCTCATATCTCTCTCATTGCAAGAGAACCTGATCATTCGAACATCTTTAAAGTGTAATACATTAAAAAGAAACGTTGTTGGCTACCTTTAAAGTACTTTATATCACTTTAAATCACACTACCAGAGCAATGCTGCAAAGAATGCCATCTAATTTACATAAAGTCACCCAGAGGTTAATTAGTATATGGAGGTTAATTTCCAAAAGAATGCACTAGGAAAAAAGCGGCAAAAAGCAATTCTTTCCTTAATTGGTTTTGTACACACCTCATTCTATGTTTTACAAATGTACTCAGTAATTTCTGTCTTCATTTTCTAGGAAGATTGCATGTCAGGGAGAAAGGAAGTCTGTCACTGTGTCTGAGTGGCTACTTGCTGACCTTTTGTTGCAGAATAGACTATTTGGAAACATTGCTGTCACATGCCATCGCAATTGCATGGTGGGCACTGTAATGCTACATTTGCATGCATCATCTGCAGTGGAACAAAAAAATAATTCCCAGTTGTGTCTCTAATTGTATAACTGGTGGGAAGTATTGATACAAACATCACATTAGAAATAGTACATGTTCCCAGCTCTGTCCACATTGTGGAATGGAGGGAAGGTGTTCACCTGGTAAGCCCACATGTCAAGAGGAAAAGTAGGACATTTAATGTTAGTAGGGAGGGGCAAAAGTGATTATTTTTCTGTTTGGAAATAAATACTCTGAGGGACTATCAGAAACTGTCCTCAGGTGACAAAGGAAGAAGGCAATCTCGGAGCCTTGCTGGATTCCCCTCTAATTTTGGATACCCTGAGCTGTGTATTGGCTCTATGTCCATTTCTGGATTCTGTGACTTTGGTGGAAGTGGTTATGCTTTTCTACAAGAGCTTTAATGGACACAGTACAGCTTAATTTGAAGACACTACTCCTCTCAGCAGTAATAAGATTATGTTCTACTATGAAGATTGAGAAAACAATCTCAATCTTTAATAAGAGCGTTTTTAATAAGAGTTATTAGCATTTACTGAAACTAGATATCTGCCCAAGCTTGAATCTTGATAACCTAGAACTGCTTAACAATGTTGAGTTTGGCTTTTGAAATATGTGTTAGAAGCCTTGTATTCTTAGAGGCTTTGGAGCTATTCTAACCCCAAAATATGTCTTTCTCAGAAGCAAGTAGGAGAAATCCCTACAGCAGGATTGAACAGCAGTAGCAGACAATAAAGACTTCAGTTTTATTTCTGTCTTCTCCACCAAGCTGTTTAGACACCTGATAAAGAAATTCCAGTGGTGGAGCCAAGGATCTACTCAAGCTCATGCTAGAAATGGAACACCTCCCACCCCTGGATGCAGTGTCAAAACCATGGGCACATCGCACTGTACAGCCTACGCTGCCTTCCTGACCGCTCCTCTCCTCTCTCTGCAGTAGCAAGGGGGTGGCTTCACCACTGCTCCTTGCAAGCATGAAGTGGATTTATCATTCTGTAAATGTTATTTTTGGTAAACATTTCTACAGAGGCTGCATAGAAACCAGACTTGATGCAAACATTTCCATGATGAGTGGATATATAGTCATACAGCCTCTCCTGGGTCACATGAAACTAGATGTTACATTTGGCAGTAATAACAAGGTAATCAGAGCTCTTCCATTTTCCTTGGTCATGAATAAATCCATCCTTGGCAAGTAATATCCCTGTGTTCATTCATAAGTTGTAATATAATAAGGATATCAGCAAAAAACATTGAATTTATTTATTCCATTTACACATCCACTATTCCTTATTATTCTTGGTTCCTAGGAAAATGTTCTTTCTCTTCCTTTAAACAGCTCTTGTACATTTTTGCTGTTTACAATCTCCTTACTGTTGCTGAGGGTTCTCCTATTCCCTCCCTGTCTTTGTTTAGCAAAGCTAAATGCATTTTGTTATTTTAATCTTTCTTGAAAAGTCAATCCCTTAATTAGAATCTATGGTTGTGGAGTTCCACTGGTGTCTGCAGGCTAAACACCACTAAGGCTGTTTTCCTACTAATTGTGCTCACAGACAAGACATTTGTTACTATTGTTGATGGCATTAATTTGTTTGTTGGTTTCAGGTTTTTTTAAAGACTGTTTATCTAGGTAAAAGGCAGAAGGCAGAATTCATTAAATCAGATTTTCAAAGGATTAAAGCCTACAAGGCATAGAAAGTGATGATTTTGTTGGTTGAGATTTTAAACTGAAACATGCAAAGATAAACCTAAAAGCCCAGGGTTCAGAGACTGAGCACATCGAAATCTCTCACTAAAACACAGAGATTTTATGAACATGCTTGTAAAAGAAGGCTGCCAAATGCTGACCCACACTCTCTCCTACTGATTCCTAATTAGCATCAAAAAATGTGGAAACAATCCTTCATTCCCAGTCTATCAAACACATTTTGCTAAAGAGACATTTGGAGATTCAGTGGGAATAACAGTAATGCAAAAACAAAAAGCTTACCTTGTCTTTTCTCACTTTTGTCTCCAGTTTTTGTTCACTAATCACCCTGCATGCAAGTTTTTAGGAAAAGGATTTCACTCTTCTAGCATGCAATCAAAGAAATCAAAGAACCTTTACACAGACATCACAACAACTTTTTGAAGTAAGTTTTGAGGGGCTTCTTAGTGCGTAATTTCTTTCTGTGTACCTCTTAGGGATGTAAATTTTTTACATATCCAATTGCTCTCCACAGTACCACACATAAAGGCAATAAATGTAATAGCAACCTACCTGAGTGATGTATCTTTTACTCTGCACATGAATTTGCTGCAGTTTGAATGTTTCTTGTGCTGAGATATGTCCCATTTGATTCAGTTCTATTTAAATCAATTATTTCATTGTGCATAAGCTAAAACAAAAGCTCCATTGTTTGGATGTACAAAGTAATGGTATTCCACCAAGGTATGCTCCGAGTGTGTTTCTGTCTATCTCCTCTGTCCACAGAGATTGTTAGGTTCAGCTGTGTAGTGTGGCTTCCTCTACAGCGCTTGGGATGAATCCTGTTCTGCTACTCCACTACGTTATCCCGAGTCCTGCATTGTAATCTGCTGCCTACTTCCAGTCTACAAAGTAGCCTTTTTTAAAGACATTTCTCCTTCACTTGGAAGGTGAATCCTAGCAGCTGGGACTTCCTAGTCCTCACCACAGCCACAACTGAATTTTTCTCATCAGTCCTAGACCTGATGTGGCCTTACCCCTGGTGACAATTGCCAGTATAGCACCAGATCACACTACAATTTAGCTATGTGATTAATCACACGCTAAGGTTTGGACTCATCATCATGGCTGGGCTTCGCGAACGAATATTTGGGAAGGGCTCTACCCACGTTTGTTACAAGCGTGTTGGTGGCTAAAAAGGCCAATACGAGATAGGTTTGGACTAGTGTCCCAGTTACTCACACAGATGTGACTCGAGAACAACTACCTGTTGGGCCATACCATGACTGTGCCTTTGGGCATGCTCACATCTTTCTATATGAGCTTCACAGAGTTCAGTACCACCTGAACTAGGTAGCGTCTATACCTCCCCTGAGAGTTATCACTGCACCATGTCTGCACTATCCATCTCATTCCCTTCTTCCACACCACTGTTACAGCTGCTGAGGTAGACAGGCTTTTTTTTCCCTCTTCTCCTTCTGCCCATGCAGCCTTTCCTGTGTTACCACACAGAAGCTTAACTTCTGCACAGCAGTTTACTCCCTCTACAAGTTTCCTCAGCACTGTAATTTAAGTATTCTTGAGGTATTTAAGAGCTGCAGCCTAAAATCCTGGAGGTTCAAAAACTTTCCCATTTCCAAAGTGAGATGGCTAACACCGAAGATCCTGAAAGCTGAATTCAGAGTCAAATAGGTTAAGCCCCCTCTGGGAATTTCAGAAGAGGTTGGGCATCTTGTCTGGTCAGTCTGGAGTATGACAGGTGAAAGACATGGGGTATTTCCTGACATTGGGCTGCATCTGAGCTGGCTCAAAACTTTTCTTTGAGAGATTTGACAGCAGACCAGGATGTTTCTGGAGGGTAAACATCTAGTGGGTTAGACAGTGCTAGAGAGTAGGCAGTCTGAACACCTGGGATTTAGGCACGTGGATTTTGTCCAAGTCCCACCATAATTCTGAAAGGTGTATGTGTTGCTACTAATGCCTGCTCCTCAAAAAAATCTGGCAAAAAAATTCATGTGCTAACACCTATATACCTATACCCATATATCTACTGACTTTGATTTTCATTGAAACCCCTGTGTTTACATGACTAAATGATGTGTCTGCATCAAAAGGCCCTTGGCATCCAGCTCGCCACTGTACATTGTACACTACAGTTCCATCCCAGGATGAGGAGCCAAGCAGCCCAAAGTTCAGCCCTCCTGGTACTGTAAATGGAGACATTCATTGGAGATTTTTGGAGACAAACTAGCTTTCAGGTAGCACAGAAAAACAGAAATTAATGCTTTTCCCCTTAAAGGAGTAAAAAGCATCTGTAGGAGGAAGACCCACCCTTTAAATGCATAAACAATACTTAAATTTGGCAGAGAACGAGGTATTTTGAAATTATGCAACATGAAACAGTCACTGACACCTCTACTGAAACGTGACACTGGTTCTAGGATGTTCAGGCACTCCTGCTGGGACAGATAATCTGCATTTAAATTACAAGATTCAGCCATATGTCTGGCTGGGAAATGAAAAGGGTGGAATGATAGATACTACCTTGTGCTTCAGCTGTTGGAGTCTTTCATGCTGCTCAGTCACTCTCATGCACTGTGGTCTGTTCCAGAATAAACTCTCTTCCTATTAGATAATATCCTAATGTCTCCAGGGCCTGTTTCAGAAACGAAGAGTCTCTTTTTTTTCCTCAGAAACTATATATCAAATCTTTGGTGGGAGCAAGCTTTTGACTAATATTCCCCTCTGATTATTTAACTTGTAATAACATATCAATTTAACCCATGCAACTTTTATTTGAGATTTAGGCTATGACATATGGTTGGAGATCCGTACTGTTCAATTTAGGGAAGGCAAATCTTCCTCATTTACAAAATGGGTACATCCTACCTCCCCACTTTTGTGGTTCTGTGTGTGTGTACATGAGTTTTAGAATAAGAGAGCAATATTTCCTTTTCATTCAAGTGATTTTGGGTTTTTTTTTTCCCCAGCTAGTATCAACTAGCCTTTGCCATAATCTTTCAGTGGGAAAAACATATTTTTGTGGCACCTTCAAGTCAAAGCTGCATCTTCTTTGTAGCTGCTGGATGTATTCTGTAAAAGCTTGGATTTTACTTAATTTAGACTGTGAGAAGCTACTATATTAATATTTCCAGTAACTTAGTTGCACATCCTGAACTGAACCAGAATTAATTGGAGAGAAAAAATTATCATTTTCAGTATTATGAAGAAGGAAAAAATAAAATAGAGTAAGAACAAAGATATCTAAAATATAGAACCTTCTCCCACATTTTCAGTGTGTTACTATTTTTGGACCTTTTTTTTTTTTTGTGACTTGCCGTTGCACATGGCTTGGACTTAAGAAACACAGGGTAATGCAGGCTTAGTGATTTGATGATGGTAGCACTGAGTGGTAAAGGCACGATCTGCATTTAGAAATCTGGTCACTCCACTCCTTAAATCATAAATGCTCCCAGAATTTATAGGATTCATTGCAAACCTTGGAGGTAGACAAGGAGGACACTACACAGCATCAGCACGTTGCCATCCTTGTAAATTTGATGGGGACATTTTTTAAGCTAAACATGCAAGGAGCTGAGCTGAAAGATGGGTGCTCATCAGAGGAAGAATCTGCTCATGACAATGTCAAAGGATGATGGTGAATTTTCTGGAAAAGATGGTTTTGCAAGTGAGCAAGATGGATGTCAAAAGAAGCCTTCTCTGTCCATTCAAGCTTCCTGTGGTTTGCCCTCCCAGTTTTTGAGACCCTGCGGTTGGACTGAGCTCCTGGCTGACCCATGGCCCAGTTGGTGTGGCATGAGGTATGTCACCATCACTGGGCACGTTGGGAGAACTCTGTGTGGTCCTGGACTGCTACTTGCCTTCTACTGTCTCCAGCCACCAAGGCAGAGGTTCGAATTTAGCTACCACCTGCAGATCTCTGTGCTTTTATCACCACTTTGAAAATAAGAAAGTGGAAGGACCATTAATTTAGACCAAGTGTGAACTGATAAAAAAGGACGTCCTTGTGAATTGCTCCTAGAATTGTCACTGGCCTGTAGTAAGAACAAAGAAATAAAAGACTTCGCATAATTACTCTGAAGGTACTTATTTTCATATACTCTTTATTGTTGTTTTATTTCAGGACAGGTTTAATTAAAAGTAAGCACTGGCAGTAATCATATAGTATGTGCTTCCTTTTCGGAGCTTTGAAAGATCTGTTCTTGTAAGGGTGATATATCACCTAAATGAGCATGCATGAAAACTTGTAAAATGTAATTTGGTACAGAATTTTTTCCACATGGCACATATACCAAGTAAATATTTTATGAGAGAGACCAGAGAGTTTTACAGAGCGTGGTTTGGTATATAGTATAAATACACTGAATTTTGTATATGGGCCATACACAAAATACTATAGGTATCTGCTTAAAGGAAGACAGCATGACAAACCTCTAGGAGCCACAAAGTCTTACCTGGTACGTACTACACATCTTAACGGCCATGCTGATG